ATATATATATATATATATATATATATATATATATTCTGCCATGTATGTCAAAATGTTCGGCTACGCAAACTGGAAGATGCATGCTGCGTTTCTATTTCATTTGCAGCTTAACTGGGCGATGTCACAACTCCTCACCTAAGCCAACCCAAGGAAGCCCAACAATCGAGAAGAAGCAAGCGGGCCCATCGCAAGAGCTCCAAGGTACACGGCCCACAATGGGCTTGTGTCCAGTGTGCCCCAGCGGAGTAGTTAAGAGAGGCAGAGAGCTAGAGAGGGGAATCATCCAATTACTTGTAACAGAATTCTTAGCTACTCTGTAACCCGGGACCTCGTCGGCCTGAGGCACTGTTCTTCTTCCCCGCATCTGATCTCGTTTCGATCGGGTCGCTAACATACCTGGTATCAGAGCTATCGAGCCGGGCACGTCGGTGGAGCTCTGGAGTCGTCGTCGATCTCCCACGAGCACTTCACCAGGCTGCAATGTGCAAGGGGAGCGATGGATCCCGTCGTCTCCAAGACGTTCGACGAAATGCTCAAGAAGATGGAGGAGTTTGACGTGCGCTCCGCCGAGCGCTCCGAGCGCTTGGAGAAGCGCTTCGAGGACGCGTCTTCCGCCGTCCAGGAGCATGAGGAAGCTGTCGACGCTCGCTTCACCTCCCTAGAGATCTTCGCTTTTTCCAGTACACCGCTGCCATCATCCCGACAACTGGGGGTCCCATTTTGACTCACGCGTCTTGAATCCGGAGCAGCGCATGGCGGATCTTGAACTCATCAGGCTGGCTGAGATCCGTGACGAGCGAGATGACCATGTGGAGGTGTTGGAGGGCGCCATCAGGGAGCTGTAGTTGTGGCGTCAGGAGGTCAACGACCACATCGACGACATCCGCTACGAGCTTCGCCGCTTCCCCAAGCCTACTACGACGTCAACCTGGCAACCCTTGCTGATGGCGCGTCAGGAGTCGGCCGCTGCTGAGCAACATCCTGGCGGGAGCACGGTCGACTGGCCCAACGGGCACCGCGTCACCATGACTACACGGGGTGCTGGCCTATGGCTCGGTCACGACCATAGTGTCGTCCTCGGCCAATGGTATGTCCTTCCCTCTCAATCCCGACACTCCTGTTACCAATTCCCGATTCCACCCATCTCAGTTCATCCCCCGTCCTCCACCCCCAAATCCACCACCACAGATCGCACCCAATCCCCCACCACCTAACCCACCACCTCATTTCATTCCCAATTCTCAAATTACCCACCCACCACCACCTCATCCTCCTTCTCCGGTCCACTCGACCGCCCTTGGCCATCTTCCCAAAATGCACTTCCCTAAGTTCGACGGCGATGACCCTCGATACTGGATGACGTGTGCTCGTAATTATTTTGATATGTATGCCATCAATCCCTCCATGTGGGTCAAGTGTTCAACCATGCAGTTCACTGGTGCCGCTCGCCATCGGTTGAGCGCCAAGTAGCCGGTCTTGATTGGCCATCCTTCCGTCGTATGATTCGTGAACGCTTCTGCTGCGTCCAGCATGAACTACTAATTCGACAATTATTCCACATTAAGCAAACCACCTCTATTCAGGATTATGTCGATCGGTTTGTTGATTTTATCGAGCAACTCTTAGCCTATACACCTAACCCCGATCATCTATCCTACACTACCTGATTCATTGATGGCCTTCGAGATGATATTCACGCTATTATTCTTGTACAACATCCCAAGGATTTGGATACTGCGTGCACTCTGGCTCTCTTGCAGGAGGAAGCATTGGAGCCTAGACGTCGTTGAGATGTTCGAAAGAGTGAGGGGTTTCCCTTCCCCAAGCAGCAGGCCATGAGGGCGCTCTACCTCTTCCGTCGCCTCCTGTACGTGCTGGCGCGCCATCGCAGGCCGATGACAAGAAGCAGCAAGAGGACCGCCGCTACCACCGCCGCTACCACCGCCGCTACCCACCTAGGAACACACCTGTGGATGACAAGCTACAAACCTTGCAATCTTACCACAAAGCTCGAGGACTATGTGTTTGTTGTGGTGAACGCTGGTAGCCGGGTCACAAATGTGCACCAATTATTTAGTTGCATGCTCTCCAAGAAGTTTGGAATCTTTGCCAAAGCGCGTTTGAAATCAAAGAAGAAGAAACGGGTACTGATGATACAGCTGAGGTTGCAGTTAGCCAACAACAACTCTTCCTTCTCCTATCCACAGCAGCAGTCTCTGGTCACCTTTCCAATAGAACTATGCAGTTCAAAGGAACTATACAAGGGCAAGACATTCTCATTCTGATTGATTCAGGTAGCAGTCGTTCTTTCATCAGCAGTATTGTTGATGAAAAGCTCCTGGATATTCGTCCGTTGTCATCTCCTATTTCTATCCAAGTGGCCGATGGTGGTTCTATACTCTGTTCTCAGGAGATACCTCTAGTAGAATGGATAGTCCAGGGGTATACTTTTCACTCCAGGCTCAAGGTCATTCTTGTTGGGGTCTTATGATCTGATTATTGGATGGACTGGCTTGAAGCCTTCTCGCCTATGAAGGTCCATTGGGCTCACAAATGGATGATGATACCCTATGGTTCAATTCAGATCTTACTCCAACGCCAGCTACCAGAGATTGAAACTTGTTCTCTGGTTCAGTTATTTCACATTGCCAGCGACTCTCCATCAGTAGCGTCTCCTCCACTTGATCCTATAGTTCAGGCTATCCTCAATGAGTTTGCGGCTGTTTTTGCTGAGCCTGTCGGCCTACCTCCTAGGCATTCATGTGACCATACCATTCCCCTGGTACAGGGCGCTCAACCACTATCGGTTCGGCCCTACCGTTATGCACCTGCTCCGAAATCAAAAATTGAGGCTCAAGTCACGGATATGTTGTTAGTCTAGATTGATTCAGCCAAGCACAAGCGCCTTCTCTTCCCCAGTGTTGCTGGTCCGCAAAAAAGATGGAGGCTGGAGATTCTACGTGTATTACCACATGCTTAATGCTCTCACAATCATGTCCAAATTCCCAATTCCAGTTATTGACGAACTTCTTGGTGAACTTTTGGGTGCTTCCTGGTTTTCAGTTTTGGACTTATGGGCAGGCTTTAACCAAATTTGTTTGGCTCCAGGGGAAGAACAGAAGACGGCTTTCCAAACCCATTGGGGTCACTTTGAATTCACCGTCACGTCATTTGGATTGACTGGTGCTCCAAACACATTCCAGGGCACCATGAATACAACACCGCACTCTCTTCTTCGCCGTTGTGTTATTGTCTTCTTTGATGACATCCTAGTTTATAGTAAGACACTAGAAGAACATCTGCACCATCTGCAGCAAGTGCTATCTCTTCTGGCTAGAGATCAGTGGCTGGTCAAGCTCTCCAAGTGCTAATTTGCACAGCAAAGCATCTCATATCTGGGCCATGTTGTCAGCTCTGCCGGTGTTGCAACAGATCCTAGCAAAGTCTAGTCCATCAAAGATTGGCTGGCTCCTCAACATGTGAAACAATTACGGAGTTTCCTCGGTTTCACGGGTTACTACCGCAAGTTTGTGTGCCATTTTGCAATCATAGCTCGACCTCTTACAGACCTGCTCAAGAAAGGGGCCCTATTTATTTGGACACCATCTCATCAGTCGGCCTTCGAGGCATTACAACAAGCTCTTATGTCGGCTTCGGTCTCAACTTTACCAGATTTCACCAAGCCATTCTAGATCCAGACGGATGCCAGCGATTATGGTGTGGGCGTAATATTACTTCAAGACGGCCACCCTCTAGCCTTCGTTAGTAAGGCCCTCGGACCAAGAACACATGGACTTTCAACCTATGAGAAGGAGTACCTGGCCGTGCTGGTAGCTGTCGAACAATGGCGTGAGTATCTTCAACACGGAGAGTTCATCATCTTCACTGACCAACGGAGCTTGGTACACATCACAGACCAAAGGCTCCATACTCCGTGGCAACTTAAGATTTACACTAAGCTGGTGGGATTGCAGTACAAGATTGTGTACAAACCAGGAGCATCTAACCAGGCCACTGATGCGCTATCCCGTCATACGCCTCTGTCTGCTCAGGTCCATGCTTTATCATTTATTACACCAACATGGCTTAATGATGTGGTGGCTGGGTATGACAAGGATCCTGCAACTTTGAAGCTTATCCAAGAGTTGAGTTTGGCCTCTGACTTGCACCCACCCTATACTCTGAATGACGGCATACTCTGGCTACGTGATCGTATCTGGATTGGGAACAACACTCCTCTCCAACAACGCCTCATGTTTGTTATGCATACTAGCGCCGTGGGAGGCCACTCTAGGTTTCCGGTTACATTGAGCAAGATTAAGAAACTGTTTGTCTGGCGCAGTATGAAGACGAATGTCAAGAATTTTGTGGCTACTTGCTCAGTTTGTGTGCAGGCCAAACCTGATCGTGCACGCTACCCTGGCCAGTTGGCACCACTGCCGGTCCCAACTAAATCCTGGCAAGTCCTATCTATGGATTTCATCGAAAGCCTCCCAAGATCTGGTGCCGCAAATTGCTTGATGGTCATCATGGATAGGTTTAGCAAGTTTGCACATTTCATTCTACTCTTACATCCGTTCAATGCACAGCAGGTGGCTCAAGCATTCTTGGACAATACCTACCGACTTCATGGGCTCCCAACACACATCATCAGTGACCATGATCGCATATTCACCAGTGTGTTCTGGCACGAGCTCTTTCGCCTTGCCCAGACCACACTGTCCATGAGCTCGGCATACCACCCACAAACGAACGGCCAAACAGAGCGCGTCAACCAATGTTTGGCGATGTACCTCCGCTATTTCGTCCATTCATGTCCATGACAATGGCTGAAGTGGATTCCGCTAGCAGAGTTCTGGTACAACACTAGTTTGCATTCCTCCATCAACATATCACCATTCGAGGAACTTTATGGTCATCCTCCCCTCCACTTCGGTATCTCAGCATCTTCAGTTTCCTCTGTACCCGAGGTGGATGACTTACTCTCTGAACGTGCTACCATGATGGTGTCTGTGTGTCAACACCTTCACCGAGCTCAACAACGCATGAAGGCACAAGCGGACATGAGCCGGTCCGAGCAAACCTTCGTCGTCGGCGACTTTGTCTACCTGAAGCTACAGCCGTACGTGCAGTCCTCATTGGTGCCGCAAGCCCATCAGAAGCTCTCCTTCCGCTACTTTGGCCCCTACAAGGTGATCGACTGCATCGGCTCCGTCGCCTACAAGCTTGAACTTCCTCCTTCTTCGTCGATTCATCCAGTCTTCCATGTGTCGCTCCTCAAGCCGGCACCCTCGACGAAGTACATCGTCTCGCCGTCGCTTCCTAACATTGACGACAACCTACAAGTGCCTAAAGCAGTACTCCAGCGTCGTCTTCAGAACCAGCATGAAGCCTCAGTACCCTAGCTCCTCATCAAGTGGTCAGGTCTCGACCCTTCACTCGCAAGTGGCAACATGGGAAGACACAAAAGCCATCCATCAACAGTTCCCACAAGCTCCGGCCTAGGGACATGCCGGCGCCCAAGGGGAGGGGATGTCACGGCTCCTCACCTAAGCCAGCCCAAGGAAGCCCAACAATCGAGAAGAAGCAAGCGGGCCCATCGCAAGAGCTCCAAGGTACACGTCCCACAATGGGCTTGCGTCCAGTGCGCCCTAGTGGAGTAGTAGTTAAGAGAGGCAGAGAGCTAGAGAGGGGAATCATCCAATTACTTGTAACATAATTCTTAGCTACTCTGGAATCCGGGACATCGTCGGCCTGAGGCACTGTTCTTCTTCCCCGCGTCCGATCTCGTCCCGATCGGGTCGCTAACAGGCGAGTGGCAAACATGTTTAGGCTTCATATTCTTCTCACACACATGCATGCACATTCACCGGCGGACCCAGATATTAGGTGAACGAGGAGAATTAGAAAAGAGAAGGTGGAACATGGATAAAAATAGCAACTTCATGATAACTTGGTTCCTCACTTGCTAAACAAAAGTTATTGTATTTTTAAACAAAAATTATACTGAGATCGATGGGGATGGATGGTCCAGTAGCTTCTTCAGCTAGTACTGAAAATGATTAGTCGGAGGAAGCTGTCCCCTTCGTCATTATTCTCATCTCCTTGTATTTGTCGAGACGTATTTGTCTTTGTTACCCTTGTGCCTGTCTGTCTCTGAAACATACATATCACATCTTGCACGTATATTACTTGTTATTAGATAGTCTTTCTGTACAGTCTAAACTGTGGTTATATAATACGTACGCAGTATATCCACACACACACACACACTAGGAAAAGTACACTTTCTTCAAATCTCGAGGCAGCCAGCTAACAGTGATCATGACAATTACTGCTCAATCATGCCTTTAGTTTATGTTTGATGAGTAGCATCAGGAGAACATATATAATCTGTCTTTAATGTAATTTGTATTCCTTTCTTTGCCCAAGATTTATTTGAGCCGTAAATTTATGGGCATATCTTTATTTGTGGTAATAGGAAACAAAATTAACAGAGAAAATAAAAATAAAATCTACTACTAGTATATGGCATTGCATGCATGTATTCCTTTCTTTGCCCAAACATGCACTCCAAGGCTCAAGGCTGCATGCCAGGCACCAGGAGATAGAGGAGTGTGCTACTATGCTTCAAATTGCATTGTTTGCGATGATGGACAGATGAAGAGCATCGGTGGGGCCGGATCGGAGGACTCGATCGTCGGCTCGTCGCCATGCATGCAACCACCAATGCTGTCGATCGTATTTCCTTGTGCATGTGTTGAAACAAAATAGAGTCCTTTTCGTACTCACAACCGGCCAATCATGTGAGCACGTTCCTAGCACAGGCCAATTAAACAACTGCGGTGTTCTTCTCGGACTCCTCGTGGTTCTTTCCTAATCATCGTATCCATGCAAACACCTGTCCACCGGCCAGCTTCATCTCTCTTGATTAGACGATATGGAAAAAGAATTAACTATTCCAACCTGATCGAGCCGGACTCACCAGCTTTGCAACCCGGCCGAGATCAGAACCTGAAAGCAATGGCCGCTCCACGGACTCATTAGCGAACGTGCGAACCTACGTACTCCGTATATAGTAACAACGAATGATGGGCTCACGGCTGAGATCGTTTGCTCCCCCGAGTGGGGCCCACCTGCTGCCATGCAGTACCATCGCCATCTCCGTCTTCTCCTCTGGCTGCTGGCTCCACAGCACAGCTGCACAGGCCCAGCCAGCCCCAAAATAAAATGACCTGAAGAGCAAATGGGGAGGTCCAGGGAAGGCCGCCGCCTGGTCCTGGGGTGTTGAGTAAGTTGAGGACACGAAGACGACGAGGAGTCAAGCTTCCCCCCGGAGACCATCAAGATTAATTTCCTCTTTCTTTCGGGGGAGCACGAGCGCTGACGCCAGCTCCGACGTAAGTCCCTTTCTCCTCCTCCTCACGCTTGCTATTTCTGAACTACTGTAGCACAAGTCATCCCGTCACGGCCTTGGTCGGGGTGGCCGGTTAGAGCGCGGGGGCTGGGGGGTGCTAAGGGACGCAGGTGGCAGCGGGCCCCTATATTTATAGTCCTTTTTTGAGGAAACAGTATTTATAGTCCTCGGAGGCTTGGTCCTTAAGCAATCTAGATTTTTCTTTCAAAAAACTAAGAGAAGAGTCCTTATAGATTTGGACTGTTTCATTTACGAGCAAACTTATTTATTCCTTGACTAAATCCTAATTTATTTTATGTAAGCAACTTTCTATTTATTTCACTACCTTTTTCTGATTTCTCCATTTTTTTCTGGATCACCTTGAATGTTGGGAGACTCGAGAAGCGGAGGTGGCCCACCCCCATGGCCGAGCGCCCTTGCTGTCGCGCGCCGGGGGTTCCCGGGGTCGGTCAGGGCTTGGGTCGTGGGCTTCTCCTGGCCCATTGATCCCGACATTGGGCCTCTGATTTAGGCACATGACACATCCTCTCCACCATTTTGTTCTTGGAGCCGACTGAGCAAATCCCTATGGGCGTGTTTGTTTGTTTGGACTAGGGTGGCCGGCACATACCAGCGGGATCTGGTCAGCACCAGGCCGCCCTAGCCGGTGCAACCGGTGGTGTTTGTTTGCCCTAGGCCAGTTGGGGCTGGCTCACACTATCCCCATGTTTTCATGTTTGTTTGCCTGGACCGTGTGTTAGTTTTCCCTAACTACCTTCAACTACCACAAAAGGATGGTGTTTGTGCCTAGCTTTGAGTTGGTTCTTGAGTTGAATGCAACAATTCCATTATCATAGGAGCTGAACTTTTTGTAAGAAGCATCGGGAAAACCCATAAACTTGGTCATGGTAGTCAGGCCAGTTGGAGTAAACTCCAGGCCGATAGCCATTGAACACAACATAGCATCCAGTCATCACTTTTCTGCAAAACCCAAACATGTTGCATCAGTTTTGACAAGTAGTATAACAATGAGCAAATGAAAGTAAACATCATTGGCAGCATTGATCTCCAGGCCTCAATTATGTGGTTACTGGTCACAAACCAATAGTCTGCTTTAGATGCCTTCACCGTGTTGTAAGCCAAACTGACATTTGGTTTGGGCACAAGGAGGAGACACAGAAAGCAAACTAGACGGCCTGCTCCTATAATCCATCAAACATCATAGACATCACTGACAAATATAAGTAGTGGCCTCAGTTTTTTTTTCCAACATCTCATATGCATAAAGAATGATTGGTGGCACTTAACAAGACTAAAGATGAAGGCATAATTCAAGCAAGCACTGGACCATAAAGATGCAAAAAAGTTTCATTCAAGCATGCAATGGACAATAGCAAGCAAGCACAGGGCAATACAGTTCCAAAGGGCGTGTTTGTTTGCCTGGATAGAAGAACAAACAGGCAACAGACAGGCCTAGCTGCACCATAGATAGAAAACCAAGAGATCAATAGAAAACCAACCAAGAGATCAACAGGAAAACTAACAAGTGCCACCTCATCATAGTTCTTGTCATCATCGTAGGCCTAATCAAATGTCATCCCCACCTTCACAGATAAGTAGTCCAAACCAACATCATTTTTGCTGGATGATATTCTACCATGGGACAACATCCCATGCACTACTACTAGCACCAAAATGATACATGTGTACCTCATGCTCTAGCATGACATGCACATGTACCATTGGAGTGTTGGTAACCAATATAATGGATGTGGCCCATGGTACATAACATTCAACAAGAACAATAGAACAGTAAGACAGATGTATCACAAGTTCAAGTACTAGCAAAATAAAGACAGGAAGATAGTAAGACATATGCATACAGGAGTAAGACAGATATATGAAGCAATAAGACAGTTGTCACTACAGTTATGTTCACTAAATCAACAACATCATCACATTGCCTCACCAGATCAAGTACCAGCAGTTAGGGCTGCTACAACTAGCAAGAAGTTGGACAAATATTACATATAGTTAGCCGCCCCCAAATGAGCAATGAAAAAATCCCTAGTCAGTCTAGCTACCTTGTTGCACAAAAGACCCTATGCCACTGCACAAAAGATTAAGGAAGAAGAGTGGTTAAGGAGGGTGGAGAACATATACTTCTCAACTTCTTCCCTCATCTAGCTTGCTCCAGAAGTAGAGTGCAAGTAGCCTAGAGGTAGTAGTTCTTGGCCAGGAAAGTGCTAAGCCAGAGAACTCTATGGTTGTCCACCATGTCCACAAAAGCCCTACCTTGGGACATGTTGTCCCACAGGTGGCTAAAATCAACAATCATAGACTCCTTTGAGAAACCAGGCATGTACATGACAGCCTGGTAGAGGTCAACATCAACATGAGAAGGCCCAGTCTGCCACATTGTTCATAGCATCAGTCATGTTGGTCATGAGCAATATCTCATCCTCAGTGAAGTAAGACCTCTTCCTCTTCCACCCACAGTTGGGGTAAGCACCTCAGTTAGTCAGTTGCCTTGCTGCTCTCCCCATGCTCTGTCTTGTCATCCACCTACTGGCTCCCAAATGTGCCCTCCAAGCATCTTCCATGCTGATGTGTCAATTGTGTTGTTGTTCACCCCAAGGGCCTCATTTGAGCCTAGAGAAAATCTACCAGTGGCATGGAGCTACCAAAGATGGTCTCCATCTGCTCATAGAACCTAATTGGGGTTTTGAGGAAGTCAACATCCTTGGGGTGGTCCTGCAACAAGAGCAACAAGCATAAGTTAGTGCAATGCATATCAAAATAGTAAGCTACAATAATTGAAAATAGTAAGTATTACAAGAAAATAAAGGCGGTACCTTAACATGACCAACATAGTGATCTTGCTCCAGCATGGTGGTCTTGGTGTCATCATCCCAAAGTGCCCCACTTAGATCCTTCAACTTGCACACCCTTCCCCACCTTTGTCTCCACTTCCTAAGGTGGTTGTACACCCGTGCGGAAGTCACCTCC